GTACGCCGGTTGGAGAAGTTGATACAAGGAGAGGCAAAGGGGGATCAGGAGAGGAGAAAAGATCTAGGCCGCTGAGGCGACGTTCAGTGGTGGCTGTTGGAGGAGAGGCTCGTGGAGAGATAAGCCTACTAATGGCAAAGAGGTCAGCATCGTCGGCTTGGCTCTGGCAACCGCATTGATCGGCTTGACCGACTGACAATGAGCAATGTGACAGATGAAGTGGGCAAGAGGCCTCGCCAATGGACTGTATCGAAATAAGAGAATATACAGCATACATATCATTTGCAGGTACGTCTATGGATAGATCTAGTAAAATGGGTTAAGCAACTCCGTCTTTTCAATAGTATAATAGTCATAAAATTCTCCTTATAGGATATCAGGACATTAAAGCATGTAAGTCATCCGCGACCCCCTTGCTAGCCTGGCTGAAGCTATGCCAAACTTGCTCAAATCAATTGGCAGAGGTACTCGGAAAAAGGAGTTAATGCAGACACGAGTTCATTCTGCCACAAGTATAAACACCATGAGCATTAAGCCTTACTATGAATGATGCTGTTCTGAAGAGGTCTGTCAAGTGAAAGCCGAAAGCCCAGTAGTTTCATAAAGGCCATGATGAGGTTACCGAGTGAAAATCTTCTGGGTAGAATGTGCACAGCGAATTACAACACAAAACAAAAGCAACCTCTAGAAGGCTTTTGACTAAATGGATAAGGTGTTTGCAAATAAGAGTTTTTAATAATATGAAGACAACTGATTTTCCTACGAAGAGGAAGCTATCAAAACGAAGCTTATCTCGTAAAAAAGGGCAGGCAAACGAATCTGCAATAATAAATGAGGCGATTAAGAGCTTTTGATGAAATTCACGCATCGCTTAGGGAAGAAGTTGCTGATACGGATGGAATAAAGCCAAGAGCAAACATGAAGAGTTGTCTTCAAGTTAACCAGTCATAAATTTTACATTCATAAATGAGTCGATTCTTTATATAAGGTAGATACATCCTAAATCAGGTTCATCAAACCAATGGCAAATATAAGTTGTTTTACCTAGTCCGGAGTCCATGTATACACGCGAATTTCCAAAGT